TTCGAACATCACTTCCAACACTTGTCTGTCGAACCGCGTTCGACGAACCGTTTGACCGTGTAAACCGCCCTTAATACCATATTCTCCCACAACTCACTTTAATTGGGGTGATAAAGTACTGGATATCCCTTGTTAATGATGAGTAATGGAGTGCTTCAAGGACATCTCATTCTACCTCTCTCTTTATTTCATTTTCGTGCTTTCCCCCTCAAATCCTTCCCATCCTACTCCCACCTCTACAGTGATGGCACCCTGTATAGGAAGAAGAGAGTGGCACTCGATGCCGCCACTGTTCCCTCCCCATCCTATCCCATTTTAGGCACCCTGTATAGGGAGAAGAGAGTGGCACTCGATGCCGTCACTGTTCCCTCCACATCCTATCCCGTTTTAGGCACCCTGAATAGGGAGAAGAGAGTGGTACTCGATGCCGGCACTGTTCCCTCCCCATCCTATCCCATTTTAGGCACCCTGAATAGGGAGAAGAGAGTGGCACTTGATGCCATCACTGTTCTCTCCACATCCTATCCCATTTTAGGCACCCTGAATAGGGAGAAGAGAGTGGCACTCAATGCCGTCACTGTTCCTTCCACATCCTATCCCGTTTTAGGCACCCTGAATAGGGAGAAGAGAGTTGCACTCGATGCCGTCACTGTTCCCTCCCTATTCCATCCCATTTTAGGCACCATGAATAAGGAGAAGAGAGTGGCACTCGATGCCGGCACTGTTCCCTCCCCGTCCTATACCCATTTATTACTCAGTTCATATGAAGGTTCGAACAAGATTTGATTTAAAATGAGAGTAAAGGGGGGTTTCCACGGTCAAACGGTTCGTCGAACGCTGTTCGACAGACAAGTGTTTGAAGTGATGTTCAAACGTGTGAACGGGGTATTTGGTTGTCGAACACGGAACGGAACGTGTTCGACAACCAAATACCCCGTTCAAACGTTCGAACATCACTTCAAACACTTGTCTATCGAACCGCGTTCGACGAACCGTTTGACCGTGTAAACACCCCTTTAACAATGGGATATTGCAAATTATTCTTGATAATTTTAGTAGGTGAGCTATTCGTTCTTAGTCTGTCTACACTGTCTACCCCAGCAAAACAAATAATCCCCAGTACCTCGAAGTTGTTGTTTTTGTGAACAGTCGAGTCTAAGTTGTTGTTCAATTATAAATGAAGTCATTTCATACACTCGTCAATCTAAATCTATAATATACAATGACATAATCAAGACCCCCAAAAGGAAAAACTGAAGTGAGGATGTAAATATGAGTAAAAATTCTTTGGAAAAACAAAATACTTATGTAATATTTCAGGACAATATTTATACCTATGCTGATTCAGCATGGCTCAATATTCTTGCTGAATGTAATTTTCTTTCAGGCTTCAGTAAATAAAGTTATTGAGTTGTTGAAAAGCATAATAATTATGTAATATTTCAGGACAATATTTATACCAATGGTGACTTCAGCATGGCTCAATATCCTTGCTGAAAGTCATTTGCCTTTTAGACTTTAGTAAATAAAGTTATTGAGTTGTTGAAAAGCAAAATAATTATGTAATATTTCAGTACAATATTTATACCAATGGTGACAGCAGCATGGCTCAATATCCTTGCTGAAAGTAATATTCCTTTCAGGCTTCAGTAAATAAAGTTATTGATATGTTTAAAATGGGCTTTGGGGTGAGAATGGCTTCCAACTGATGACCTGATAAAGATAACATAAAAGGTCAACTCATCAAAGGACAAATGAAAATAGAGAATATGCAAGAGTTAGTCAACAAGAAAAATATTAAATAGATAATTCCGAAATAGCGAATATATTTGACCATAACGAAGGCCGAACTGTGTCCTTTATAATACATTTTCAGAATCAAGTAAAGGATATATTACTCGCAGTACATTAAATAATTTCAAAACCAGTGCAAAATCCCGTCATTTATGATATAATTACAAATATTGCCACGAAATGCTGGGACTGGCTCTAGTATTATATATATTTTTTTAATATTAGACAAACTAATATCTGTGTGCATGCACCTCTCTCTTCCAAGCCTTCTTCAAGGAACTATTCAGGGAAGATATACAAGACTTTATAATTGCCTTCCTAAGGAGATTAAGGAATGTAATAATGTTGATACTTTCAAGAGGAGACTGAAAACGCATCTCTTTGGTGACTGCTACACTTCGGAAATGACTATAAGTGACAGTTACAAAGTTTAGAGCGTGAATACAATTAAGGTGCGACTCCCAGAACGCTTTATAGACGGAAAGGAGTCGAGAAACAAACACCATAAGATAAAGATAAGGGCTTAAGTATTCTTTTAATTTCTGTATTGGCAGTACAAGATTGTAACACTCTTCCTCTTATATTTGTTTTGATTTGTCAAACAACCTTCTATGGCAAAGTAAAGATTGTATTTAAACAAAATTCTCGTTTCATAATCCACAAAAAAACTAAAGGAGGTATTCCTAAATTCCAAAAAAATATCTATTTTCGATTTACTTGTTAGGAATTAGGAAGTTTGTGTAAGTTATTGATTTCGGGGGTCACGTGGTTCGTCTCAA